TATTCTGTCAAGCACAGTGATACATGCCTATAAACCCAGCACTTGGGGAGGCGACTAAGGCAAGAGGATGCAAGTTCAAGTCAAATCAGGCCAATTTAGCAAGAATTTGTCTCAAAACAAAAAAAAAAAAAAAAAAAAAAAAAAAAAAAAACTAGGGATGCAGCTCAGTGGTAGAGTAGCCCTGAGTTTGACCCTCAATGACACACACAAAAGCAGTAGTCATTCTGTAAGGGTTAACATACAAAAAGTGCTAAGTATAATTTTTCTGTATGTGACAGCTGTTACTTCTCAAAGAGTAATTGTTATAATCATTAATACAAAGATCTGAAATGAAGGAATAAAAAGACATGCCCGAAGAAAAACCTAAGTGACCTGCATCCACGCAAGGTTTAGCATTTCCCACAAATGTTGCTAAGGTAACACTATGACAAAGCAACAATGAGAATGGACTCTACCAGACTGGCCGGCAAATTCTGACTTTAAAGAGAATTTCAAGCATCTTTTGGCTTCTGATATATGATCCCTTTTATTTATCTACATTTAATTGAAGACATCTGTAAGTAGTGCCACACAAAATGCAATTCCAACTCAGAACTGTTAATAAAAATGTCTGTAAGGCAGAGGTCCGATGTTAACCTAGCAAGGGAGTGCACATCAGCAGCTACAGAGCCACACTAAGTTAGGAACAGAATGGAAATATGTTGCCCGACTTGACGAGGTGATAAAAGCTCTCTTCCCATAAAGCTTAATGAGCACTATTAGTCTTCAGCTTACAGGAATGTAAAAGGGTCAGCCCCACAGAGGGAAGAAACTGACTCTCCACACATGGTCCATTCAAATGACAACATATCAAATTACTGATGTAATTACTATAACCTGACAATTTCATTAGATTCATGTGGCAGTTAACTTTAGGGCTTACAACAAAGGAACATGGTTCATTCACCAGAGGTTTTTAGAATAAAGTAAAGTTTAAAGTCTGCTTCATGTTCAACTACAAGACTCAGTTTATTCTATCAGAATCATTTTTTTTTTCAAAATTTGGGAAAGTGTTGGGTACATCCCACATTTGTAATTTCCCTTCTTTAGCTAAACTATAAATTTAATGGCACATCTAAATATTCAAAGACTTCCACTACTCACCTGCCTTAGCTCTTAAGTCCTACGTGTGAACAAAGTATGGAACCCGAGCCCACTGGACACTGAAGGAGAGCTGGGGACAGCTGCCACGCACTAAGCTATCAGGTGGCCCTGTATAACTCCAAGTTAGAGAAATACCAATGGAAAGGATTTGAAGTATTCTCATCCAAAAAAAGAGAACTGCATCCATCATTTTTAAATCATTTCTCTTCTCTATAAACGTCAGTCAAGTAACAAAAAAGATCAACTTAGCCAAGGTAAGATACACCTTCAAATCATTAGAGAAAGCTATCAGAAAATCACAGGAACTATTACTCAATTTTGATCATGACACCTTCCTTATTGTTCACCAAAGATTAAAGCTTCCACACATATACTGGAATATTTAACCAGAATGGTAAGACACAATTTAAAAATAAGATATTTGCTTGAGTAGCAGATATACCTCAAGCCCTATCTACAACTGAGAACATTCAAAAATGAAAAAGCTAAGCTCTCAATCATAAGTAGCTGTAATCTAACTGGAAAGAAATATTACACCTTGACCGCTAATGGTTGAGACCTGCCTAATTATCAATAAATGACGGCTACTTTCAGACTGACCCCACAGACCATTAATTTGTTCATTCATTTGTCCAACAAGTATTTATTAAATCAGTGCCTGCACGGTATTAGTGACTACACTAAGGATGGAAACACAGGGCTGGGGAGATGGCTCAGTGGAATAAGCGCTTCCCTGGCAAGCACAAGGGCCTGAGTTCAATCCCTGGTTCCGCCAAAAACATAAATAAATAATGTAACAGTGGAAGAATGGAAACACAAGGAAACAGTAAAAACAGGGCCATCTCTGAGTTTAGACAGAATTTTATTGGTGAGCTCCACTTAGAAGCATTCTGGAATTGGCTAGTAAATCAAATTGTTACTTGTCCATCAAGTGGAAGACTAGCTCTTTATTGTCACTGACTCCCTATGCAGGGAAGCCAACTTACTCTAATTGCCATTTGCTAAAAATCCTTATTCCTAGTCACACTAAGCTCTTGTTGAAGTTGTCTGACACTGGCAAACACTGATTTCAATAACTATTAATAAAAATACCAATGTTCCTCTATCCACTGTGGGTCTTTTATTCAAAGAGTAAAACGATTTTAATATTTTGTAATTTTTTAAAATTCTTATGTTTTTGGTACAGTGTCTCGCTCTGCAGCTCAGACTCATAGTGATCCTCCTGCTTCAGCTTCCCCAGCACTGGGATTACAGGCGTGCATCACCACACCCAGTCTTGGTGGCAGCACAGCATGCAGTACCAGGGATCAAACCCAGATCCTTGTACTTGAATAGGCAGGCACTTAGACCACTGAGATATCTTCACAGCCCCCCTTTTTTATTTTGTACTAGGAACCAATTCAGAACCTTACATTTGCTAGACAGATGCTTGTGCCACTGAGCTATATCCCCAGCCCTCATAATTTGGTATTGTTTTTGTTTTTTTGCTTTGGTACTGGGGATTGAACTCAGGACCCTGGCTTGTCAGACCAGTGCTTATTCTACTTACTATAATCTCCCTGGCCCCCATATTTTGTAATTGATACTAACATTTTGTATATCTCCTTCCCAACTAATTTATGAGCATTTCAACAGACTTTGAGATTTGTGTGTACAATTTTGCATCCTGCTTTTTATCTCTTAATATAGCAAGACATTTTATACTTATTCACTAATTCATACTCAATAGAACATGCATTTTTTCATGCATTTGTAATTTTCATATAGTATTCTATCATATGTCTTGGTAAGAATTTTTCTGCCCATTTACTACCATTCGACATGTAGGTTGCTTACAATTTTTCACCATTATAAATAATGCTGTAATAAACATTATTTCACAGGGCTGGTGAGATAGCTCAGTGGTCTAAAGTCCTGCTTAGGCAAGCTTAGGCAAAAGTGCAGGGACCACGGTTCAATCCCTGGTACCACAAGCCATGCCAGCCCCATCCCCAGGGCAGGGTGAGCTGGCCACAAAAATAAAAATAAAAATAAATAAATAAACATTGTTTCACAAGTACTGCCGTTGCCTTTGATTATCTCTGAGGTAGTGGTTCTCAGAACAGAATTATTCAGTCATAAGATATGGATATATATAAAGGCTTCAATGTATATGGCCAAACAGCCTGCTTTTATAAAAGATGAAGTTTATAAACACCCCATTTCAGCACATTTTCTCACTTAAAAAAAAAAAAAAAAAACCCTTGATAGGCAATAGATTACATATCACTAGTATTTTAAACTATATTTCTTTGACTACTAATAGATTTAAACTTTTACAACATATTGATTACCTCTTACATTTTATTTCATCAACTACTTGGTAAAATCCAAGCAAATTTTATATAAAAGAAAATAGTATTTTTTATTGACTCTGAAAGGTCATTACATTTTACCAGACTTTCCCCAATTTGCTGTTTAGCTATATTTATTTGCATGTACAAAACTGTATCTTTTATATTCAAATTTTTTTATTCTCTCTTTTGTAAATTTCGGTCTGCTTCTGCGGTTAGAGCAAATTATAAAATATTTATGTAAGTTTTCTCTGGATTGGGTTTCCTTTATGTCTAAAGTTTACTTAAAATTCTATTTTTCAGGTATGTTTCAATGTTTGCTATAAATCACCCCATTTAAGTTTAATAATCATTAAGTATTTTCTCCATTTTTATATTACAAAACAGCAGTTCAGAAGAATTAAGTGGCTTGCACAGGGGCCATCTGAGTTCCTCTCCTTTCCAAGGCCAGAATCCTTCCACTGTTACCATCCGCTTCCCCTGACACAGACCGCGACCACACCCGGGCGCACCAGCCTCTGGGGTTGCGTCTGGTTCTCCCAGTGATCACTCACTCTGGCCAATAATGTTTTCAATAATCAAATACACACAAGGCTATAGCAGAACAAAAAGAAACGCCCATGTGTGGGCAAGTTAAGGGTGAACTCACAGAGGATATACTGCTGGCCTCATCTGAGCTTCCTGGGAATGGGGAAGTGGAGCTTAAAGTGAAATACAGAAGAGATGCAAAAAGAAGAACAAGTGAAAGGGGAGCAAGAAACTGCGAGAACATGTACTATGGGGTCTCCGTGGCACAGTTTACTCTTACTTCTGTGAGGCAGTTTTGTTTGACTCATTTGAGAAGCAGGAATTAGTGCTTGAAGATAAAAAACTGAGGCTCAGGGATGCTGCGATTCACCCCATGTCACAAGAGTAATAAGTGACAACATGCTCTTAAACTCAAGTTTGGTGATAAATCTAAATATCTCTTCAGTTTCCTGCCCTTCTCTGCTTTTTCTTCCCATTCCTGGAAATTAACTACGTGTTCTTCTGCAACCAGAGTTCACGATGACATCTGGTTCTGCAACAGTTGTTCTTTATCTCACAACTTTATTACTCAACTTTTGGTTCAACATTGAAAATAAAGATGAGGATTAAATGGAAAAAGAATGAAGTGCCCAGGGCAGTGCCTGTGTCACAGCAGGAGCTCCTCTCTGATCACTTCACAGGTTTTTAAATGGCCTCTCAAACCAAGTCAAAATTCGGGACGACAACTTTTCCCTGTGATTTCTCCAGCTCTCTTTTAACATGAGGATAATTCATATAGAGTTAAATAAACAAATAAGGGAGTAATAGAAATACAACAACCTTACCTCTGGAAAATTTAAACCAAAAAACGCTTTGTTTATCCCATTGTTGATATTGAAAAATAAGTGTCAGTTCAAAATCAACACTCCAAAATTATCAAATAAGTGTTTAATGAAAGAAACCTACAGTGATGCTTAATCAGTTATTCCAGTATTAAGGTCAGTGAGTAAACCTTACCTCCAAAGGTGAACTGCAAAGGAATCTCGTGAACTGCAGAGTCAAATTGGAATGCAATCAATTTCATCCAGTGAAAGGGAACACAAAGAAAAAAGAAAAAATTATTATACAATTTTCTAGTAAGAGCATCTGAAGTAAACCCAAAAGTTTATAGAAAATGTTTTCACATTGTATAATTTATCAACAGAATGAAGTTTCAACTTAGCCTACCAAAGAAACATGCCTAAATATCTGTACAAAAGCAAATAAAGCATAATTAGTATTAATACAACTAATATGTATATTTTTTAGTTTTGTCTTACAACCTTTGTATCATACAAAAACTCTCTAAAGGAGGAATCATCAATCCTCTTGCCACAGACAGACTGACTTAATAGCAAGTCAAAAAGGATATAAACCATAGGAAGAAAAAAAAAAGGCAGACACAAAAATTAAGACCAAGAGAGGAGCATGAGAGAAAGGGAAGTCCTACCTCTACAACTCGGCCCTTCTATTCTGATGTTAACCCTGATTTGCCATTTCTCTTTTCTCAGTTCCAGACCCCTCTCCTTTCCCCTTTTTCTTTTTCTCTCCCTTTTCCTCATTACCTCCCTTTCTCCTTTAACTTTCTCTTGCTTTCTGTAACAAATATACCTGCTTAAGCAATACTACTCAGCTCTAAACATCATGTGCTATTTGTTTCTCAGCATTTACATAAAGGGGGGGATGAACAGATGACAAAGCAAACCATGGATTAGCTCTGAAATGAGGATCATCACATAACGCCATGTATATATAAGGTGGTAATTCATGATGCTCTCATGGAGTTGTTTCCAGAATTAACATTTCATGTCCTTTGAGATTTACTGTAATAATAAATACCTAAGCCATATAAACTCTTCATCTCACTAATAATTCAACTACAATGAAATGTAATGACATTCCATTACCATTACCAAACACTCTTGAACTTCCTCCCCAAAACCAAGCTGGCTAGTATACACAAGGAATACAAAGAACTTATATTCTCTTTTAGAGACACACACCGAAATATTTATCAGTGAGATTATACAACGCCTAGGATTTCCTTCTAGATTCTAGGGGAAAGGTGGGAGGAAATAACGGGTAGGCACGTACTGAGAACACTGCCCACGAGGCTGAAGCACTGAGAGTAGGTGACAGTACACAAGGGTTCATCACATGAGTATCTCCACTTTGTACTTTAAGTTTTCCATATTTAAAAATATTATCATCAGGTGCATGCTCCCCAAATCTTAGTAAATATGCTCCTAAAATATCACTAGTGCTAGTTAAATACACAAAACCAACTAGTATCATCTACATCCTGAGTAACACAATATTTTAAAATACAGAGACTAAGATTTTTTTTCTTATAAAATGATATGCAATTCTATTATTAAGTATTAAGAGAACTTTCTGAAAGTGCAAGATATACTAAAATACTAAGATTTCATTATACTAAATATGATGCAAGTAATTTTACTGAAATTGGAAAATGCAAACTTTATGGTCCTGAATTGTTCTACAATAGGCTGATAGACAACCAATACCTTTGTTGGGAGTAAAAAGTGGCAGCTCAAATAATAGCCAACAAACGAGAAAAAAAAAAGCATGATTAATTTGTATTTTAAAAATCAGCTATTTGATATCATAGGGTTTCTATGCATTGCCTCCGATAAGTGCACTTAAACTATGCTACATCCATACTTTTGAATTTGTAAGTGATATGCAATTACTGCCAATTGATAGACAAACTAAGACACAAGTTACTTTAGATAACAAAAAAAGAAGCACACAAATACTGTAGGTGTGGTGGGCACATGCCTGGAATCCCAGCACTTGTGAAGCTGAGGCAGGGAAGGCTGCTGTGAGCTTGAGGCCTACCTGGGCTACGCAGGAAGACCTTGTCTCAAAAAATGAAAACATAACAAGGATATCTACACCAAAGAACACCAAAGAGTTATCTCTATTTGTCAAAAGGAAATTCCAAGGCTTGTAACTGCTCATATCAATTACCCAGAATTCTCTTGAATTAACAAAATACTTCTACTGGCCACATTTCCTTGAATGTTCACCTACACCATCGTATTAGGCTTCTTAAAAATTATCAAAGGATGGGTCTTTTTAGGTAGAAGCCAAAAAGTATTTAGAATTTCATAATTATCAATCTAAATCTTAATTCAATTAATTCTAAATTACATAAGTAACATTTTAGATTTCCTTCCCACCCTCCTACAATTTCTGGAGCATATTTACCCTAGTCTAAGTTATTTTCAGGCAATGAAAAACAGTTTTATGTTAAGAATGTTGTAAATGTGCATTTTTTAGAAATTGTTTTGTTTTTTTTTTTAATTTATTTATTTATTGTGTGTGTGTGTGTGTGTGTGTGTGTGTGTGTGTGGGGCCAGCTCAGCCCACCAGGGGGCGGGGCTGGCTGGCATGTGGTGCTGGGGATTAGAACCGCGGTCGCTGTGCTTTTGCTTAGCTTAGCTTGTTCTAAGTAGGTGCTTTAGACCACTGAGCCATCTCACCAGCCCTAGAAATTGTTTTGATTCCACAAAAGAAATATTTTCATTGTTTCACATACTGCAAAAAATGAAGCCTTTGGATCAGGGATATAGCTCAGTGGCAGGGTCCTGACTTTGATTTCTGACAACAACAACAACAAAAAAGAATCCTCCTCTAAAAGTAACCTACAGGGGGCCTAGGCCTAGCTCAGTCCTTTAAGTGGCTGCTTCCACAAAGCTGTCAGCCTCAGGTGGCTGGAGTTCGAACCTCACAACTCTCCCGCTGGCCAAACGTGCCCTGAAGGCATGCGAGGAACAAAACAAAACAAAACAAAAAAAAATCCTAAAAGTAACCTACAGATACAGCTAGTGCTCATTTCAAAAGTTTTTCACCAAGAGAATGAGAATGAAAATTAAATCTGTACTTAACAGAAAGTCAAAACTAGTATTTAAGAAATAAGATCTTATTTATCATACTGATGGGGAATTAGGAGGGATAATACTTCAGGCAATGCTCTGGATTCCTCTTTTTAACAGATATACTGCATACTATTTGTTAGGAATGCAGCTAAAAGGACCAATCGCTTGTTACTACCTCTTCTGATTACCGCTAGACCTTGGATAAAACAGTAGGTTTTGATGCATCTTAAAATATGACAACAAAATCTTATTTACATTTTAATGTACAAATCAACTGTTACAGTTATTATATTAACTTACACTTGAAGATGAGTCAGGTACCAATAACTCCAGAATGTCAGACATTCAAAAATAAGACAAAGCCCCCCCAAAAAATAATGTCAAAATGAGAAAACAAAAAGCTATTTTTTTCCTTTTCAAAATTAGTATGCTTATGTTACACAATAGTCTATAAGCACAGAAGAATCATCAAGCTCCTTTTCCCATGTTCTTCTTGATAGTAACTTTACTAACAATAAATGTAGTGATCTACCTTCCAAGCTAATAATCAATACTTCTGCTGATCCTCCCTTACAGCAGCTCTACTTTCCCATAATGTCCTGTTAAATTATTATATAATCTGCTATTTATTATGCTTATTGTTTAACAACCATCTCTGACGTCCCCACCCATATCCCATAATGTAAGTTTCATAACAACAAAGGATCTTTGTATTATTTATCTATAATTTGTTAACTGTACCAAATGCCATCTCCAACAAAACCTAGCACATAGTAAGTTCTCAATAACAATCTTAACAAACACATTAAGAAACCACAAATTGGGCCAGGAGAAAGCTCAGCAGCATAAGCACCTGCCTGGCAAGGGCAAGGTCCCAACTTCTACCCGTCAAAAAAAAAAAAAAAAAAAGAAACCACTAATTATAAAGGGAACTAATACCAGCCAAATTAACATAACAAGAATTAATGCCAAGAAAAAAAGAGCAACAGGTTATAGCAGTAACTTTACAAAAAGAAGAAATCAAGGCTTCCTTAAATACAACATAAACAAAATACTCTTGAGAAAATTTAAGAGCCATTATCAACAATGTAAGACCTACTCAGCATTCTGTTGGAGAACACACTAAGTAGTGAGAAGACTCATTTTGCATTAGTAGAATGCCCAAAATCTCAGCAGTAAAAACTCTGATGACATGAAAAACCTGCTTATACTGACTTCTCCATTCAGTAACACCCGTTACTGCTCTCCGTTACTCATTCAGGCTCCTCACCTCACCCTGGCAACCCACAAGCCATACTATTTTTTTCTTCAGAGCCGGGAATTGAACTCAGGCCCTTGCACTTGCCAGGCAAGTGTTTATTCTACTGAGCCATCTCCCCAGCCTCCAGTCCATAGTATTTTTAAGAAAAAAACAAGTTTCTAGACATTGCTCTGTCACCAACCACTCATTTCCCGTGAATAAATGCTGTAATTCTCTAAACAAGTTAATCTATATAACCAGATCCTTCTTTCTCTAACGTCATATGATGCTACGATTTTGCAAACTGAGATAAAGCTTAGGAAATTTTTATTTATTTATTTATTTATTTATTTATTTATTTATTATGTACTTGTATTTGGTACAGGGTCTCACTATGCAGCTAGAACTCAGCTAGGACTCGTAGTGATCCTCCTGTTTTCAGCCTCCTCGGCAGTGGGATTATGGGTATGCGCCACCACACCGTCTTGGTCGGCGGCTCAGTGTACCCGAAGGTGGGGAGGAATTTTTAATGGAAAAGAACTCTAAGAAAAATGTTCCTAGCACTACCTTTGACTCCACCTCATTGTTTCTCCCAAAAAGATGACATTATTCTGGAAGTCAGTATCACTTTCTTTGCTCCAATTAATTTAAGCAAATGACTCAAAAGCTTTGGTAACTTAAGTGCTGCTATATTAGTAGCAAATGTCAGTAGAGACTATGAAACAAGACAATACACCAGGGAACCTGGCTCAGAGGCTACTCGTAAAAGTAGCTTTTGATTCAAAGACACAAATAATTGTCTAAATCCTCTCCTCTACTTTATGGATATTTCCCATGGCTCTAAGTTTACTTAAGGGCTAGAGATA